CCACATCGGGCTCCCTGCTCGGCAGGAAGCCTGCTTCTCCCTCTCCCACTCCCCCTGCTTGTGTTCCTGCTCTCGCTATCTCTCTCTCTGTCAAATAAATAAATAAAAATCTTTAAAAAAAAAATTTCAATGAGAAGACAATGACATTGGAAAGACCTTCATGAAATTACATACTATTCACAGATACTGGCATGTTCAGGGGCATTCTGTAAAAAAAAAACCCAAAAAACACTTGGAAAAACACATTAAAAGTTAGTACTAGATAGCTTAGCTTATACGAAAAAACACACACCAAAATCATTACAGTACAAAAAAGTATTATATTCTGGACCCTAGTTTTGCCTTGAATTTTGTGACGATGCCAGAGATTATTACCGACACCTGGCATGGACTCCGGTGCGGACTCCTTCCCGGCTGCTAAGGGTCATAAGCCTGAAGAAGGCGCAGAGGTTGATGGGAAAGATGGTCACAGCATCAGTCACAGAGTACTGGCCGCCCCACCCACGAAGGACGTTCCGATCACATTTGGCTCCAAGCGACGGGAGGGAGGAAGAAAACCGACCCTCAGCAAGCCTCAACTATATGGCAAGTGTTCTGTGATGTTCCCTACACACAAGATGCCTTCCTTAGCTATGAGCCACTCCTGTGCGTTAGGTATCTTCCTCACTTTTTTCAGATACGAAGCTCGGGGCTCAGAGAGGTGAATTATCTCACCCAAGGGCACACAGTGGCCAATGGGAAGCCGGGATTGGGTCACAGGCGTGGCTGATTCTAACGTCCCTGGTCTTCTCAGGACTTGGTGTACAAATGGAAATAAGAGAATCAGCCCATCGACTGTCCACTCGCCCTTCCCGTCTTCCTCCTTCACTTCCCGCTCATTCTCCAGGCTACTCCACAGGGCGGTGGCCAAATGTTTATTTGGATTCAGGAAGAGGACTCCAAAATTACCTAGTCACTGAAAACAGCTGAACAATTAAAAACCCTGTCTTGATTAATTACATTACGAATTACCTACTTGAATACATTACTTCCATTTTATTTTTTTTTTTAAGATTTTATTTATTTATTTGAGAGAGAGAGAGAGGGAGGGAGAGCACAGAGGGAAAGGGAGAGGGAAAAGCTGACTCCCCGCTGAGCAGGTAGCCCAATGCAGGACTCAATTCTGGGACCCCGGGATCACGGCCTGAGCCGAAGGCAGACGCTTCACGGACTGAGCCACCCAGGCGCCCCCATTACCTCCATTTTAAATGGTGCTACATCCAAACCCTATGCAATGGATTCACATCTGGTGAGTACTCTTTTCTTGTTTCTCCAGAATAAAAGATATGACACTTAGTTGAACTAATGTAACTGTGTAGCCAGGGCCAGCGTTTGTCCAAACAACCTACGGCACACCAAGTCGGGGTGGGTGTTTCTAGAAGCTCATTTTAACTAGAGCACAGCTCTGCCTCTCCCACAGATGCTTCTTCACTTCCAGAGCATCCTGAGTTCTGCATCTCCCACAGGGGAGAGGGGGAGTGGGAGAGGGAACAGCAGGTAGATCAACCAGACGTGGTATATTAGATTGATCTTTCAGTGACTCCTTACCAGGCCATGGCCTAACCCTGGCGGGGTTGCTGGGGGTCTCTAGGAGGTGTGAGGTCAAGGACATGCTTTTCATTAATTTCACTTGTAAAAGAAGTGAAGAAGGCAGAGTGAAAAATCTCTCAGGCGAGCTGTAAGCAACGAATTCACTGGGGGCACGGTGCCACGGAGAGAGGCATGGAGACACACGGGATTCACCTTTTCATAGTTGGAGTAGCCCCCCATGACAGCTGGGTCCACGATGCCACTGAGCAGCATGGAGAGAGGGTGCACAGAGAGGGCTCGGTCCCAGGCATGCTGCTGGACACAGTTGCTGATCTTCTCATTGGTGAGTTCCATGGTTTCTATGGCATTCTCCAGGGGGCTGATTTCCTCCTGTGACAGAGGACCAGGGAGAGGAAGGGCATTTTGTGAGCTCACAGCAAAGACGGAACAAAAAATCCGAAGCGTTCCCTTTTAAAAGGTATAACATTCTCACCAAGCTATAGAAGAGTCAAGTTTTGCTTGTCAAGGTTATATTTATTTGGATACCACACTTATTGGAAATGCTTTTGCTAAGTTGCAAAATAAGCGACTTAAAATCTCCTTAGGAAGTCCAAGGGTGACCTAAAAATTAGAGCTATTGCGGTGATTATTTCTTGGTGCAAAGTATCTACAGAAATTTTGAAAAAAAAAAAAAATTGGAGCTGTAACAGTGATTGATTTTTAGGCAGAGCTCCCTCAGAGATTTTTGAGAAGCTCAATGACAACAGAGTAATGGGTTATCTGATCCCAGATACTTCTGCAGCACCCAGAATGTTCCCTGGCAAGAGGCTTGATGCTTCTTCCATGAGAAAAGGAAAATGATTTTGGATGCCATACATTCAGACCATACGTAAGTCACCTTAGCATGGGTTCTGTGGTTAAAAGAAGTCAGAAATAAGAGGATGTATTAGAATATTCAAGCTGAATTTTGGATGAAAACGAAGTAAGATTTAATATACATTCAGAAGAGCAACTCCTGTGGAAACATCTTCAAAGCCAGGTTTCAAGAAAGATCGCCTTCTTCGTTTTACCCATTGCCAGCCAGCATGACCGCCTACTGCAGCCTCGATGCCAAAAGTCTCTGTCCAAAATCGTATTCATACTTGAAAAATAATAATTTACTACCACTGGTATGGAACACATCAGATTTCAGTTCAGATCTGTTCAAGATGTATTTCTTGAAGATGTATTACATGCCAAGTACTGTGCTATGTTCCACAGTTATAAAAGTGACTAAGACAGAATTCGTGGCTGGGAGGAGCCTATGGTTTATAAAATGTAGTGGGGTCTCAAGCCATGTAAGCACGGGAGTAACTTGCTAGAAATAAGCCCAGGTTGTGGCGGGGCACAGGGAAAGGGCATCTAACCCCACTTAGGAGTTTCAGAGATGACTTCCAGGCAAAGCCCGGATGGGAGGTAGTTAGGTTGCGAAGTAGCATTTCGGGCAAAGAAAATGGCCCACTGTCATGGAGCGTTGAAATAACATGGGATGAGCAGTTTAGTTCCAGAAGATTCCACAGGAAACGAGGTGGCAGAGCTGAGTCACAAGGACTCTGCTTGTGTGTGCTAAGGAACAGCGGCTTTATGCTCTAGGCACTGGGGAGCCACGGCAAGGTTTTAAGCATGAGGAGGATATGGTCAGCTTTCCACTGTGGCACTCATGCTCGGAGGCCGTGAGGAAAACAGGCCTGTGAAGGCCAAGGCAGGAGGCCAATGAGGGGGCTTTTTCCGTGGCGTCCACCAGAGATGAATGAGGGACTAAAACAGGGTACAGTAGTAGGAGAGCTGGAAATAAACAGATTCAATAAATATTAAAAAGGTAAAAGGGGCAGCTTTGGGGAGGGATAGAGAAGGAAGAGTCTAGGACGACTGGTGATGTGATTAGCCACGAATGAAAGAAGAGGAAATGTTCTGGGAGAGAATGTGATTGACAGCAAACTCAAAGGAGACATTCCGAAAACGGTTTGGTGCACTGGCAGGATCATGAGGAGACGAGACTCATTTACTCATAAAAGAGTCATTCACTGTGAGTAACCTTTAGGGTTGGTGGTGTAACATCAGTTGTACAAAGGAGTTCTATTAGACAAGCACGCCTTTTATTTCTCTCTCGGAAAACAAAGTTGGCCAGAGGAGGCTGGCCAAGCTAGTGAGAACTGGAGGAGGGCTTAACAAAGGCTCTTATTATATCTGGAGACACAAAGAATTTTCTGAGTTCCAATTTCAAATGACTCACCGTTGAAATTTGTTTGACTTCAAACCACTTGAGAATCCCAGGAAAGGTGTATGCAGTTGTATACGTGGTCCTTTCGATCCACATGGTCTGGTGGAAGGAAGGAAAATTGGAAATGTCAGTTCCCAGGCAAAATGGCAATGCTCCCTGGTTGAGGTCAGGGAGAGTCTATTCCCAAATGCTTCCTTGGTGAACGGGCCACATTTTGAGGATTCTGGATGTTTAAAACTGCAAGGGATCATCTGCTTGGGCCCTCTCATGTTCTAGAGGGGACATGTGAGGTCCAGAGAGGTGGGACTTGCTCAGGTCATACCAGCATCAACACTGGAGCGCAACAGCAGAGCCCAGTCTTGGGGTGGGGTCCGGTCTAGAGTTCTCCACTGAGATGGGCTTGCTGTCTAGGTAGTAAGCGCATAGCACCTCTGTCCTCTGTCCCCACGGTGCCATCGTTTCTGCAATCTGCTTTGGTTAGGTGGAAAGCCTACTTTACCTTGTTTTAGAGGGCAAAGGGGGTGGACTCACAGCAAATTCATTGTCTGGATCCTTCTCTCCTTTCCAGAATGGCCTGGAATATCTGAACTGCTGCACTTCATTGGCTCTATAGTAGCTGGAGAAAGACATGGCCACAGTGCTGTAGCTTCGCTCTTAGAACAAGCAGTCCTTGATCAGACTTCAACAAAACCTGGGCCACATCTTACAAAGACCGAGTCTTATCCACTAAGCGACCTCAAAACAGTCTCCACAATGAAAGCTGGAGGAGGTGCACGATCTGATTTTATTGCACATCTTTATCTTATTTATGAATCCATTCCACAGCTCACCATTTAAAAAGGTATATGTATTTATATCCATGTTTGTGATTTCATTTGTGTATTTTTATCACAATCCTATCAATCCTACTAGCATTTTAGCTTCTCAGGAAAAAAGAATGAGGCTTTCGATCACTGGGGACCCCACCAGGCAAGGTGAGGTCAGCCACTCCTCAGTGAGTGCTTCTGAGTGGAAATAGGATCCAGGAGATCTGAAACCTAACAGTGAAATTCCTGATTTCCCTCTGTCTGTCTAAAAATACCTCCAAGGCCCCCAAATCCCTTTTGAATTACCAAGCTCTTATTTTATACTGAAAATACAATAAAGAGTTGCTGTGGTCTGAATGCCAGAATTCATGTGTGGAAATCCTGCCCCTCACTGTGATGGGATTAAGTAGTCTGTGGCAGGTGCATAGGTCATGAGGGTGGAGCCCCCATGAATGGGATGAGTGCCCTTATAAAAGAGACCCCAGAGCACTCCATCACCCTTTCTGCCATGTGAGGACACAGAGAGAAGTCAGTGTCTGTGAATCAGGAGGCAGGTCCTCACCAGACACCAAATCTGCTGGCGCCTGACCTTGGACTTTCCCAGCCTCCAGAACTGTGAGAAATAAATGTGTTGTTTATAAGCCACCGAGTCTGTGGGATCCTGTTATAGCAGCCCCAGAGGAGTAAGACAGCAGGTCTTCCAAATGAGCTTAAGACTTTGGTTTTAAAGATTTTATTTATCTATCGATCTACCTATCCATTCATTCAGAGAGAGAGAATGTGCGCGCGCGCGCATGTGAGAGCATAAGTGGGGGGAGGGGCAGAGGGAGAGAGAGATCAGGCAGACTCCACTCGTGGGGCTCAATCTCATGAACCTGAGATCATGACCCGAGCCAAAATTAAGAGTCAGACGCTTCACCGACTGAGGCACCCAAGCGCCCCAAAGCTTGGGTTTTGATGTACTTCTAGATAAAATGTGTTAGAAAATGTTTTTTAAAAGAAGCAAAAAACCCCCACTTACTTTAAGATCTGCTCTGGAACTGGTTTGTCCTTGTAGCTGGGCGGCAGGCTCATCACCGGCTTTACGGTGAAACACTGCATGTCTGAGGAGCTCGTTAAGGAAGGACAAGGGGCTGGGCTGTGAAGCTGTCCCAGGCAGAAAGCCCCGCCTATTCCTCCTGCTTTGCAGATGGAAATGGTACCTGCCTGACGTACTCCTTTTTCCTGACTGCCAGGACTGCATTCAAAACAGGGTTCCCTGAGGTATTACCCAAACGCCTTATTAAGTAATAATCCTAGGACATTTTGGTCAGACACCTGGCAAGCAACCCTGCCATAGGAAAATAGGCATCAATGAACTATCAGGTGAAGAGGGATTTGAATCAGTTTTAAATCATTTCTTTTGGACACGCATGCCTCTGAAACAGCCGGACTCCAGAGCCTGCGCAGGAGGAACGTCTGGTATCTGTGGCTATCACTTGTTGACGGACGGCCATCGCTGGGCACTGAACGAGGTTCTCAATATGTTCCCGCCAATAATAAACACAACAACCAACAGGCAAATGTTATGAATCTCCTTCTACAGATGAGGAATCTGAGGCTCTGAGAAAACCCAGAGCGCATAACTGGTACATGATGAAGTCAGGCTTTTAATCCAGCTCAGGGGGAGACCCGTCTCTCTGACTTGATAATTTAAATAATGACTGTTTTTGTCAGTACAGATATACTGTTTCAAAATCGACAGCATTTAAAGTCTGGGTGAAAGCCCTGGGTCGGGACAGAACAGTGACTCCCAGCATCTCTGGGTGATGTGCAGCCCCGGGGAACCAGAACCACACGACGCTTAATCAGGACGCACAATTAGAATTCACAGCTGCTGAATTAGAATCTCTCTGTGGTGAGTCTCATGTACAACAAAATCTGAGGACCACTGGGCTGTGCTTTACCCTGGTCTAGTTGACAGAGCATTTTCACAGAAATGACCTCCTTTTTATTTTGATCCTTCCAGAAGTGCTACTGGGTATTTAGGGAAAACAGATTCACACCTCATGGATGAGAAACCAAGGCCTGGAAGAAGGAAGCCATTTGGGAAAGGTTACAGCCACAGAAATCCTACATCCAGTTCTTGAAGACCTCTTGTCATTCCCACACCACGAAGGCACCTCCGTTGTCTCCTGAACCCACATAACCCAAACAAGGATTTATCCTGGAAGACCATTCTTTTCCAAGCATCTGCTACGTATTAACAGGTTGCCGTTCTCTTAAAGGTGTGCCTGTCTATTGGTCTGTTATTATTATTGTCAATCTTTCTTACCATCTACTTACAACCTACTTACCAACCTATATGTATAATAATGGCCAATATATATTGAATTTTTACTATGTAGCAGGCACTGTTCCTAACATTTGACAGATATTTAGTCAATCTTTACAAGAACTCCGTGAGAAAGGATGAACATCATCCCCATTTTATAGATGGGAAAACCAAGGCAGAGAGAAATTAAGGAACTTCTCAAAGGGACACAGTAAGTGACAGAGCTGAGACTCGAACCCGGGCACCTTGGCTCCAGAGCCCGTTCTCTTATCTACCCTGTCACACTGGCTCTGGCTTATCTACCTCTCTTTGAATAGTGTTCAATTTTAGAACATCTTTATTTTAGCACAAAACACATGAACAAGTCTTAAAAATAATTTTGTTATGGAGCTTTTAGTATTTTGTTTTTGTTTTCTTTTTAAGTCATTGCATGTTACAAAAGAAGAGCTATATGTCTTTATCCAGAATCCAGAATTCTCTACAGCCAGTCTATGTCCTCTTCAAGCTCCCCATATGGCTATAAAACATATCCTTTCATATTCAAGATTTCCTTATCTCCTCTCTCCTTTACTTCATAACCTTGTGCTAAGGACGTTAGGGTCCCAAAGCTTTTACACAGAATGGGAAACTGAGTCAGAACCGTTACATGAGTGGTTGGAGGGCAGGACATATCCGCATGCAGAGACGGGACTGAACCCTTAGCTTCTGTGGCTGGGCCGGGCCATGTCTCCCCGAGGTGAGGATACACTGCTTTGGGGACGACTTGATGTCCTCTCCCGGGGGCGTGGTGCTGGTCATCTTCTCGGCATTGGGGAACTGGGTCAGCAACCTCAGGCTGAAGTCTTCTCGCCTCTCGTACTCCTTCCCCCGGTAGATGAAGATTTTGTTCTGCAGGTCAGAGACAGCAAGGGGAGTGATTACACATGAAGAGTGAAGGGGCAACTGGAGATCCTGGTGCTGAGGAAGCCACAGTCTTCCCCGGCCGAAGTGCATTCCACCAGCAAGTTCTCACTAAAGACCTACTACGTGCCCCGCAGCAACCGTCATATCTGGCAAGAGCTCATGGTTTATTGGGGGAGATAAGTCAACGGCATAAAGCTGTCTCTGCAGTGCTTCTCAGAGTGCGGCCCCGTGACCACCGCCGGTCTGCAAACGGTCTGCACTGACCCACAGGGAGATGAGCTTATGCCCTAAGGTAGATCCACGATGTCACCAGGCACGCTGTTGAATTTAGCTGATTTTCATAGCAAGACATTCTCAACAAAGGAAGGAAGTGCGTGAATTTGCTTCACCTGCAAGCCTTTGTCTTATCATGATCCAGCTGCGGACCAGCACTTGGAGTGGCGCTGACATAGAGAATGGGAAAGTATGAAGAGAGTCCACACAACAAATCTCCATTAACAGAGAACAGGAATAATGTACAGCAGTCCGTCTGCAATCCTGAAAATCACTGTGGGTGCGATGTCAAAGGCTCACAGAATATAACTCTACTAAGTCCTATTCTCTCCCTTCTAATCTACATTCTTTTTCTGTTTAATAAAATTAATAAAATTGGATTTTTTTAGAAAGAAATTTCCTAGGCTCCAGACATAGGAGTAATTTGACTCATAACTGCTGTTGCCCACGCAAGTTCAAATGTAGCCATGTTTCAAAGGTTCTTGCTCATCTGATGATCGCTCAGATGAGTACTTAGCATTAGCAGCCCATATCTGATCCATTTTTTAACTAAACCTTGGGCCCCTATTGTCCTGGAAAATATTTTTAAAAATCACCTGCCCGTTCATCTAGCAGATAGGTATTGGACAAACAGGAGATATGCTAAGACACTAGGGATATAATGATGATCCTACTCTCACAAAACTCACCTTCTGCTGGGCAGAAACAGAAAACAAGTAAGTATGATAGTTTATATAAGTAACAGGAAGGCAATATACCTTCTAGGAGAAACACTGATGGTAGGAAAAACTGCCAGGTCTTTTGGGATAGATGATGAAGTTTTTCCAAGCTAGGAAAGATTTACATGACTAATCCATGCTTTATGCAATTCCATCATTCAGGCAAAACTGTGGTAGGTAAGGAAGCAGAGTATTCGGCAGCACTAATTGTAGGATGTGGACAACAATGTGAACGGAAGCAGACAAGCACAAGGTCAGCACACAGTAGCACAGAGTAAAAGAGGGGCTTCGAGGATAACATGGCATTGACTGGGCCCAGATGCACGGACACGGTAAGGAGAGGAGAAGAGAAGGCGAGGACAACCAGCAGGAGGAGTGAAAGAAAGGACAGGGCCACAGGGCACAAAGTATGGAACTGAAGTAGAAGAAAATAAGCTTGGACGAGCCAGAGCACTGAAAGGCAGGCACCAGTTCCTAAGGCCTGGGGAATTCACTGGAGGTTCTAGAAGGAGGGAGCGACATGACGGAAGCAGTGCATAGACAACCTCAGTGGACAGTGGGGTGTGCATCTAACTGCAGGACCCCCAGGTAGGACTGAGTGGGAGAAGGAGAAGCTATGGGATCTGGTGTCTGACCCTGGTATCTGGTGAAGGGCAAAGAAGATGGGGAGAATCACCAAGGATTCTGAGCTTGCTGGGCCCAGAGCAGGAGGCTCAGTGGGGCCCCTGACAGAAGCAGGGAAGGAGGAGGCCTGGCTAGGGCTGGGGCAGGGGTGGGGGGAGAGGACAACACGATTTTAGATATTCTGAGTTTGGGGAAATGGTCCATACCACAGAAGGGCATGGAGGTTACATCATGCAGAGGCTTTTATATTTTTCAGCACTCTCTGATAACACCTAACATCCACAAACCACTTTACAGTTTATAAAGCCCTCCTGTATGCTATTTACTTAATTCCGAAGCAACCCTGTGATATGGGCAGTATTTCTCTAACTTACACGTCAGAAAATGTGGAGGTTACATGATTTGGTCGAAATCCTATAGTCACCCAGCAGATGATGGAGACCCCCCCCCTTTTTCAACTTGAAGGTCTAACCTTTGCCCTGAACCAGTGCTGTCTCCAGCTCACGCCCCCAAATGCATGTGACACAGCAGTCACACACACACGCACACACATGCATGGCAGGCACCCCTGCCTTACTGGGACTGGAGCACCGAGACTGACCGCCGGTCTTGGTCTAGAACCTACTGCAGGGCGCCCTCCCAGACCCTCTCCTTCTGGTGCTCCGTTCTCTCTCCGCGCGCTATCTCCTCCACACTCGAATAACCCACAACTTTATCCGCAGTCTGGAACTTTCCTTTGAGTTCTGGGTCCATGTATCAGACTGTTGACTCGCATCTGTTGGATGTTCCACATTACCTCACACTGAGTATGGCCCCAACCAGACGTTCACAAAGAACGTATAAAGATCTGAAAGGCCACCTGCAATCCGGGACCCTGAGCCACCTGCCCCCCCTTCTCTACTTGCCCTCTTGTTCACACTCCTCCAGCCTCACGGCTTTTGAACCCGCTGTTCTCACTTCCTGGCCCCCCATCTCATCTCTTGATGGCCACCTGGCTTATTCCCTCACTTCTTTCAGGTCCTTGCTCAAATGTCATTTTCTTACTGACATCCGTCCCATTCACTCTATTTAAAATTACAACTCCACCCCCATCACCTGCCTCTTTCTCCCCCCGCCCCGACATTTTCTCCATGATATATACGGAGGGTCTACACGGGGTGAGGCATTGTTCTAGGCCATCAGACATACTAAGTGTGTTTACTTTTTGTGTGTCTCCAAGCTAGAATATAAGTTCCATAATTTCAAGGATTTGGGTTGTTTTGGACTGTGCCTCCATGCCTATAATACAGTAAGGCACAGAGTAAGAGTTCAATAAATAGTTATTCAATGAATGGACTGAATCTCTCTACCATGACTCTATTTTCCAGTATTGCTGTCTTAGTGGATGGCTCCACAGCCCTTCCTGTTATGCAGCCAGAAATTGAGAAATCATTCTTGCCACCTCCCTCCTTCCTCACCCACGTGTCCCAACAACAATCATCAAATACTGCTACTTTACTATTCAAAATCTTTCCATTTTTCTCTAAAGCTACCTCCCTAGGACGACCGGCCATCCCTTCCCTCAACATCTACAACAGTCTCTAAGTGGCTTATCTGTACACATCCGACCATTATCCGTACCAGCCAGACGATGGATGACCTTGCCAACACACAGAGTCCGCCATGGTTCCCTCCTGCTCTTGGGGTGCTGACAACACAGTCAGGGCAGCCCCACGGCCCTGCCCTGCATGTTCTCCCCATGCTTCGGGCCTCAACTCCCCGCTCGCCCCATGCCCTCCCTTCCCGGGCACTGCCATGCGCTTCCTTGTCACTTTCACTGCCTGCAATGCTTTTCTCCTACCACCTTTATCTCCAAAACTCCAAGCTCACCTCTAAATTGCAGCCAAAGCAGAAATTCCCTGGGAAGTCTTTCCTGACTCTTAAAAAAAAAAATTCAGGCATAATTTACATGTAGTAAAATCTACCCATAATTTACATGTAGTAAAATTCTGTGAGTTTTGACAAACATAACCATGATCATAATCAAAATACAGAACAGTTTCATCACCATCCAAAATTTCTCCATGCCTTTGAAGCCCAACCCTCCCCTTCAATGACGAGACAACAACTCATCTGCTTTCTACCCCTATCGTAAGTGTCGGCTTGGCCAGATGCCGTGTAAATAAAATCATAGAGTATGCAGACTTCGTGGTCTCAGTTCTTTTACTTAGTACAATGCATCTGAGACTCAGCCACACGCTTGTGTGTATCAGGAGTTTATTCCTATTTATTACTGAGTACTGTTCCGTTGTATGGCTATCCCACAGTTTGTTTACCCCTTTGCCAATTGAGGGACATGTGAGTTGTATCTAGTCTTTGGCGATTATAAATAATAAAGAATCATGTGATACCCGTCTTGGTCAGTTTCAATTTCCATTCTTATGCGTGATTATTTAATTAACGTTACACCTGTGAGGCTGTGAATTCCGTGACAGTAAGGCCCACATCTGATTCGATTCTGCCCCGTGTGTTCCTGGCAGGCACTCAGTAAATAGTTACTGAATGAATGGGTTACCTCCTCATTGGGCACTATGAGGAATGTAAAGTCCTTCCTTTCTCACTTTTTCTTAAATCCGGGAAGGAAAATGGGTCGTTTATTTAAACACAGCCAGCTCTAAAGAGGCTTCCTTTTTTTGTGTGGGGAAAAAATAAGATTTGTTTGTTTTTTAGATTTTAAAATCAGTATCATGTTATAGAAAATTTTGAGAAGGAAGGAAAACATGGTCCTTCTCACGATTACAACACTTATTTTTATTTTTGTGAAACTTTTGCAGTCTTGTCCTCGGGATATTTGCTTTCCAACCGGCTCTGGCTGGAAATAAAACAAACAGCTGAATACATCAATCCACACTTTTCCCCAGCCTGATCTGTAGCAGCTGAGCAGCGGAGGCGATGGTTCTGTTTTTCCCTTTTTCATTACACCTGGGAAAAGTCATTTTACAAAGGAGCTGCCAGAATACCCGAGGCTGGGGGTGTGCGGTGAAGCGGCCGGCCACGCAGGAAGTGGTCCCCCCCGCCGCTTCACCGCTGACCTCCCACAGCGCTAACATGGGCCTCCAGCTGTTCACACACTAGGTCCATCTGGGAAAGAGATGAAGACCTTCGCTCCTTCAGACTGCATGGCTTAATGGCTCCGAGGACCACCCTGAGGTTTCTTACCCGAAGGAAAGAAGGAAAGCCCTGTCCGTAGTAGCCAACAGCAAAGTATTCAGGCTGAGGCCTCATTGCTTTAATGATGTTCTCATAAAACGAGGCTCTTTTTTTCTGGAAAACAAAATAAGACATTCCACAGGGAGGTTACAAGGGCACCATTGAGGGGTGGGGAAGATCAGACTATTTGCTTTGTTGTTTCCCATGGGTCAACAGGCAAATGGAAAGCCTTTGGAAAATACCCTGTAGGCCCCAGAAGTTATCCCTTTCTTGGAGCGTACGGTTTGGACCTGGGTCCGTGAAGGAGCCTTGGCGGGTCTGGCAATCTCGGGAGTTGCCTGCAGGAAGATGAATGCGTGTGCGTTCCTCTGTGGAGGGAGGCAGTGTTTAGCTCTCACCAGTTTCCTGAAGAGGGTTCAGGACCCTTAAAAGGTTAAAAAGCCCTTTCTGAGGTTCACAGAGGGTGGCTGCACATGAGAAAAGACGATAAAGAACTTTCTAGTTTGTGCCGCTGATTTGGACTAAGGTCCTTGGTTCAGCTACAAGTGCCCAGAAGGTGGTGGTGATGTTCTGTTTTTCAGTGTCTGATCCCAGCCCGAGCTTTAATCCTTCCCATGGGAACAGGTTTCCCAGCCAGGGCTAAGAGTAAGCCTTAAAGAAAGCAAAATAGGGAGCCAGACCTGGGGTCTTCGGGGCATGTCCCCAGGCCCCTCTCACAATGGTCCCATGACTGTATTACTTACTTTATTTAGGTGAAGGTTTCTAGCACGTTTTCTGCTCCATTTAGTTTATGAAATTAAGAAGTGATTTTGTGTGTGTGATGAGCAGGGGCTGGTACAACCCACCGGCAAGTTCTTTTCAAAGTGATCTTGACAACTACCCCCTCAAAGAAGCTACATTTGACCCTTGAACAACATGTGTTTAAAATGGATGAATCCACTTATATGCAGCTATTTCTGATAAATACAGTATAGTACTGGGAGTATTTTCTCTTCCTTTCAATTTTCTTAACATTTTTCTCCAGCTTACTTTACTATAAGAACACAGTATATAACACATATACAAAATATGTGTTGATCAACTGTTCATGTTATCAGTGGGACTTCTAGTCAACAATAGCTAACAATAGCCCATAAGTAGTTAAGTTTTGGGGGAGTCAAAAATTATATGTGGATTTTCAACTGTGGAAGAGGGGGTTGGCGCCCCTAAGCTCCCCACCCTGCACTGTTCAAGGGTCAACTGTATTATTACGTAACAACGGGTGACCTGACCTTTTGTGATTCCACTACTAAAAATGATCAAATGTAATGTGTGTTGGCCTACCACTGGGCATTCAGAGGGGGATTTTTGTTTTGCTACATTGTTTTTAAATAGTTGGCCTGTGCCAATGGCCGGGCATAACACACAAGTTCATAGAACTGTGAAACTACAGCACCCCAGTGACATTTTGGGAGAAGGAGAGAGGCAAAATTTGAGAATCAAGATCCAGCAGAAGCATTTAACAACTTACTAAAATGTGTACAAGAAAACAAAAAACAACAAGGGCTCAAAGATTAGCAGTTCATCCATTCAGCAGGACCCTGAGGATGTGGACCACAGAACAAGTAATTCTGATGAACAGAAGATGTCAGAAAATATTTGAAAAATGGACAGTGTTCACAGAAGGCATCACAGAAGGCAGAGTAACTGAGAGGGTAAAGAGGAGATGGGTCAGGAATACAGAGGGTCCCTACTCTAGGGAAAGAGAATGCACAGAGAAGGGAGAGGGGTCTGTAGGCAAGGATCCTGAGCCTTTTATCAAATATAATAATGATAACAGCTTTTGGACCTCATCTTTTTTTCATTTTTCTTTCAAGCAAGGTTTGCTTTGCCACGGGTAAGAACACCGTTTATCTTGACTTCCTCAAATGTGCAAAAACATTTTCACGAGCACAAATCTTAGCACCCCTGTTGGACACTTGACATATTCTGACCCGGACTCACCAGCAGGTTGCCGAGGCCCTCGTAGTCAAATACTTTGCTCTCATAAGTCTCAGCCAACTCTTTGCTCAGTTTGATGGCCTTCTCCCACATCTTCGGAAAAAGAAGAGCAGGGTTACAAGCGGAGAACAAAGCAGTCACTGATCTGTCTGGGAAAGTCATGCTGACAGTTAACTAAGGAGTCAGGTGGGTTGAGTTTCTGCAGATATTCTCACCACGCCTGGTCACCTCTTGGATCAACTAAACCTTTTCTTCTGACATGATAAAGCTACTCTATCTTGCTGCTTTGCCAGGGGGCATGTTCTATAATTCTGTTTGTGAGAACATGAAGGACACCATGTGTCCCAAACAAAGCAATACTGCATTGAAAGGGCAAAGCACTAAGACCATCGAGAGCTGAGAGGAACCAGTTCTAAAGCCTGGGTTTTGAGATCATTGAAGTCTTGTTGGAGGGGAAAGGAAGTTAGTGTGGGCCCGAGTTCTGGTTCTGGGGTGTGTGCGCGTGCGTGCGTGCGCTTTGAATTAGGTTGTTTGGGACGAGGGGAAAATGGAAGAAAGGCTAATCATTCTGTTGTGTGGAATCTGGGAAACTGTTTCTCCAATTTCGAGCACGGATTCTCTATTTCTGACCAAACTATCTACTTAGTCAAAGAGAATTTTAAGAAAAATGCCTTAAAGCATTGATGACCATGTAAGTTACAGCCTCCTGCACATATTTGGTATCTGAGGCTAGCATCCCAGATTGAACCCTCTGTTCATTTTGATTGATATTTCACAAAATGTCTCTTAGGTAGATGCTTTTAATAACACAGCACCTGGTAATTTCCTACTTGATTCTTATTAACCAGGTGCTATGTTCCATTGTGTCTGGCTGCTGAAAGAATGTATGCGCAGTTCACGTAGTTGTAAAACATTTAAAAATTCAGTCTTTTAAAATCATCATTTGCCAGATTTGCCCCCTCTGAAATTTCAGGGCCAGGATCCCTGGAAAAAAGGCTCTGAAATGTGCCATATGGAAACTGTTCCAGATCAGGGCCTGGAGCAGGAAGCCGGTTAACAGTATCCAAGAAGTCAAGCTCTCTCCTCATTTCACCAAATACTAAGTTATATCAGAAACAGGGAGACAGCCTGGCACAGAGCTTCTCCAAGTGTGGTCCCTGGTCTCTGGGAGTCCCCAAGATCCTCACACAGGGTCCGTAAGGTCACAATTATCTTCTTAGTAATAATAATACCATTTGCCTTTCTCAGTCCTCATGCTCTCACACAGTGGGGTTTCCCACAGGCTACAGAATGTGTAATACCATGGGAGACTGAATGCAGAAGCAGATAGGAGGATCCCACTATCTCCCAGATGCTAAAGAGATTTGCGAACATGTCAAACAATGCCACTCGAATCACTAATTTTTTGGAAAATATAGTAATTTTTAATAAATATGATTTATATATAATAGAAAAAAGTTTGTTCAGAGAACAAGTAAGTAAATGTTTTAAGATTCTCTGCTTTAATTTCTAAGTATACTCTTAGTATCAGTAGATATAATCCATGTGAAAAAAAGCTCTTTGGGATCCTCAGTGATTTTTGAGAGGGTCAAGGGGCACAGAGACCAAAGACTTTGAGCAAGTTTTTCATCTGTAAAAAAGATGTAATATCTACCTCATAGGGTTTTAGGGACAATTAAATTAGGAAAAAAAGTCTGGAAATAAGCCAAAACAGTAACTAGCACTAAATAGATTGTAGCTATTTTATTATGATGATTATTTGCCTGATTTTTTTAATTGATTTTTTTTGTTTCAAGTTTTTATTTAAATTCCAGTTAGTTAACATATAGTGTAATATTAGTTTCGGGAGTAGAATTGAGTGATTCATCACTTACATACAACACCCGGTGCTCATCACAAGTGCCCTCCTTAATGCCCATCGCCCATCTAGCTCATCCCCCACCCACCTCCCTCCAGCAACCCTCAGTTTGCTCTCTATAGTTAAGAGTCTGTTTTATGGTTTGCCTCTTTTTTTTCCCCTATGTTCATCTGTTTCGTTTCTTAAATTCCACATATGAGCGAATGTCTTTGTCTTTCTCTGACTTATTTTGCTTAGCATAATACACTCTAGCTCCATCCATGTCATTGCAAATGGCAAGATTTCATTCTTCTTTATGGCTGAGTAATATTCCATTGTATATATACCACGCCTTCTTTATGCATTCATCAGTTGTTGGACATTTGGGCTCTTTCCATAATTTGGCTATTGTTGATAATGCTGCTGTAAACATCAGGGCGCATGTGTCCCTTCAAATGAGCATTTTTGTATCCTTTGGGTAAATACCTAGTAGTGCAATTGTTGGGTCGTGGGGTAGCTCTATTTTTAACTTTTTGAGGAACCTCCATACTGTTTTCCAGAGTGGCTGCACCAGCTTGCATTCCCACCAACTGTGTAAGAGGGTTCCCCTTTCTCCACAGCCTCGCCAACATCTGCTGTTTCCTGTGTTGTTGATTTTAGCCATTCTGACAGGTGTGAGGTGGTACCTCATTGTGGTTTTAATTTGTATTTCCTTGATGATGAGTGATGTTGAGTATCTTTGCATGTGTCTGTTAGCCATTTGGATGGCTTCTTTGGAAAAATGTCCCTTCATGTCTTCTGCCCATTTCTTTAACTGGGTTATTTGTTTTTTTGGGTGTTGAGCTTGGTAAGTTCTTTATAGATTTTGGATACCAACCCTTTATCAGATACGTCATTTGCAAATATCCTTTCCCATTCCAAACGCTGTCTTGGCTTATTTATTTAACCAACAGGTTCCACTGCTAAACCAGGAAGAGTGGCTGCAAGTGGCAGTCCATAAGAACTCTCCAGACCTCTGAAGTGAGTCAAATCTAGGATCTGTTTTGTTTGGATAGCACATGGTTTGTTTCTTCCTCCCCCTTCCCCTTCCACCTTTTCCCCCCATTTTAAAAGCCTTTTAGCTAGACACGCGTTGTCCAGATGACCAGAGACTCCACAACTTCCTGCCTAGTTCACATGTTTATTTTACCTTTTTGAGAGCCCCTGGGGCAATTAATTAGGTTGCTGGTTACCTACGGTGTTAGGCGAGTAGTGGCCTGGGCATGGGATGTGCAGCTGGGGCTGGCCAACAATCTCTAGAGAATGCACTGAAAATGATGGTACTAGCTCCTGGCACTCAGAAGATTTAAAAGGTGAAATTATGGTTATGGAGAGTGGGGCCCTGGGCTGCCCATTATATTCTCCATTGGGTTAAGTGTCCTCAACCTAACTGATCTTTAGTGACTTCTTTAGCCTAATTTATCTATTCATTTGCTTTCCCACTAAAAGTACCAGAATTCAAAGAAACACATGGGAATAATAAAGAGTAAGTCATGAGTCACTGTTTGAAAATAAAGGATTTATCTGGTCTTTGTCCTGAGTTCCTGGGAGGGAGCTTCTAAACCCCTGGAATTTCTCCAGTGATGGGAGTGTCTGTGTTGTTTCTGATGGGCCCCTCAGACCACACCAGAGTTTATACTAATGAGGGGACTCACAGTGGGCCTCTAGATAGTCTCAGAACGGGGCTGGCCTTGCCAGAACTGCAGCCCACGGGATTAGAAGATCAGGGCCTTGAGCAACATGGTATCAGCCTGACCTCCAGGGAGGAGAGGGTTGCTGGAGACTGAGTTCACTCAGGCGGCCAAAGATTCAACCAACGAAGCCTTCAAATGAAACCCCAACAAAAACTATACACAGAGCCTCCGGTAAATTCTTAATGGCGAACATATCAATTTCCTGGGAGGGTGATGTGCCCTGAATCCACCCACGGGGAGAAGACACAGAGGCTCTGCATTTGGTATGCTCCTAGACCTTGCCCTATGTGTTTCTTCAGTTGGCTGGTCCTGATTTGTGTCCTTTAAGATAAAACTGTAATTGTAAGCACAGCACTTTACCAAGTTTTGTTAGTTGTTCCAGCATACTATCAAATCTGAGGGATTCATAGGACTCCCTCCCCCAATTTTTAATCAGTTGGTGATACGGGTAGGTGGCCCAGAGACCCCTGAACTGTGGCTGGTGTCTGAAGTGAGGGCTGTCTTACTGGGGACTATTTCCCTAACCTGAGGGAACTGTGCTAACTGTGGGGAGTTAGCATCAGAACTGCACTGCAGGGGCGCCTGGGTGGCTCAGTCGGTTAAGCGGCTGCCTTCGGCTCAGGTCATGATCCTGGGGTCCTGGGATCGAGCCCCA